TGCATTTAATGCACATACAAATTAAGAACATACTCAAATTCAGAAGTTCATATTTAGTGCACAATTTAGATTCAGAATACATCATTTAAATTCATAAAAAAAAAAAAGCACGAACGCCAAATTCCAAACATTAAAATTCATTCGAGTGGCTCAACTCTTGCACCATAGTTCTTGGCTACGAGACCTTAAACACTCAAAATGAAGGGCAAAATTTAAGAAATGCCATGAAATGTTGCTCCCCTCTGAACAAATACTTTCAAGGTCCTGCAAGAACCTGACTGCTCAGTGATACTGGGAATCAGCCAGGTGTCAACATGTGTTACGCTTTGAATGTGAAGCTACAAGACACGAGAGTGCTTGCTCAGGCAACTTCCCCCGGGTGAGTAAAGGTTAAATATAGCCATGCACAGTTATGGAAATGCAGAATAACATACTGTACTTAGACATTCCCATAGAAAACCAAGGAAAACAGCCCAGATAATAGAGGGAAACGCTTCACACAAATCTGTCTTCCAGGGACAGAGAAGCTGTCAATCACCACTGTCACCATGCCAACAGAGACCTGGGTTCTACATGGCATGACAGGAATAGGATGGAGAACACAGAGAGAAGGTCACCTCTTGTCATGTCAAACACTGTGTCGCTCATGCACAACTGCAGACACTGACATGCGTGCAAGCACACACACAAATACCAAAATGATAGAGTAGAATGTGTACATCCACATGTGCGCAGCAACTAACAGGCATGAGCAAACACAAAGCATGACAGATAGAGTCCTGTTAAGTGGTGAGAGCCTGGAGATAGTAAATAAATCAGTAACAGAGCAATATGCACCAAACATGGTAAAATAAATCAGCAAGGAGCACGGATGGCATGTTTATGTGTGCCATCCATAAACAGTGAGCCTGAGGTTCTTTAGCATTCTGTAATCAAGTCGTTCAAGATAGACAGACACCAAAGTGACTAAAGAAGTCGTTTAAAAAACAGAACATTTTCTGGTAAAGCAGCTAAATTCCAAAGCAGTGACCATCAGAGGGCACTGATCCATGCTTCCTCATTAGGAGGCGAGGTTTTCCTCGCCACTCCTTTTTAACAGGCCAAACCCTCCGCGCCGATCCTCGTTACAAAATAACACGACGTTCTCGGAAAGCTACGGTCACCACACCAGTGTCACAGCTTGGGCGGACCGGGAACATTTGGTTCTTTTCTTGGAGAGAAGAAGAAAGCCACAGCCATACACAAAAACAGCCGCAGAGAGTCCTGGAACAGCCAAGAGTATTCTGAGGTGTGGCTTCTCCGTCAGCGGCCAGAGGCAGTCGCGATAAGTTGTTGACTTTGGAGACGCTGCTCGTTGCAGGTGCTCTTTGGTGGTGAACGTTAAATCACGTGACCAGCGGGGGCGATCAAAACAACCTCACCACATTCTCGTACACGTGAGGAATGTGCGGCATCAAGTCCAGTTTACTACACGGGTAGTTACAGACCCTGGTTCCTAACCCACTTTTAACAGGCTTTCTCAATCAGGCATTATGAAAGGCCCTTCACATCTGGCTTGAGAATAGGCTTTATAGGAAACATGTCTCAGTTCCCATAGATGATCAAGTGTGGCATGCCGTGTGTGCAGCTCAGCCATAGAGAAGTTATGCTACACAGCACATTGCCTCAGGAAAGCTAGGCAGGCAGAAAGGGGAGAGGCAGAGAGAGTAAACCAGAAATGAAAAAAAAAAAAAGGAGAGAGAGAGAGAGAGCCTTAACCCACTTTCTCCTCTAATACAACCCATCAAACATCAGAAGCCATCATCATAGATTAGCCTGTCTCTAATCCTGGCTGTTAGCACAGCTGGGGCAGATTAGGGAGGGGGCATTCCTGACAGAGCCAACATGGCGTCACAGTTGCTGACAGCTCACCTGGAAACACATGGGTAAGTGTACAATACAGCACTGTTTCAATCATACACACACACACACAAACTCACACAAACACAGATCAAACGTAGTGGCGGAGCAAAGCTGCCTGCTTGCTTGCCCCCGGGCAGCGGGGTTAGGGCAGGAAGTCAGGCTTCAGAAACTGTGCGACACCTCTAAGTCGACTTGATCCTAAAACAGGGGGGAGTTCCTGGTTTTAGGGGGCGGCGACTGTAACCGTGTGTGCGTGTGTGTCTGTGTGGAATAAAGATGGAGTGATAGATTTGATGTGCGATTTAGAGAGCGAGGGAGACAGAAAGTGTGAGAAAAACAGAAATTAGAGGGTGAAAGTGAGGAAGGTGGAGAACAGAGAGGCCTGTCACACTGTTCGACTTCACAGGAAATCTGTTTAATGTGGAAGATCAGGGAGGAAACATGCTCTCTCAATATCTGGCGGTGAATGCATGCAGTGTAAAACAAATGGTACGGCAGCTCTGTGGCAGAGCACATGTGGCGACAGCCTAAGAAGGCTTGGCTTTCTTGAAAGGAAATGTAAAATCCATCTCTTACTCGATGTGTACTTTGTGTTCGAACCAAATGAACAATGTTCCCCAAAGATAAAAGGCCTCCACATGGTCCTCCTGACCCAAACCTGCTGTGTAATGGACACCTGCTGTTTTCTCTCTAAGTGTTTAACTTTCTGTCTCAAAGAGCAGATGCAGGCCGTCAGATGTTTTGCAATGCTGGACACAACGCACTTGAAGCGCACCTTTTTATAAAGGGATTTGTAAAGTTTGAGCATTCATTGCTCCTAAGGGAATGTAATTTAACCATGGGTTTACTGACCCCTAGAAAACTGAAACTCATGCTACTTCCTGCATTTATATGCCTTTATCAGTCTAGTAAGGCTGTGCCAAATAGTTCAAAGCTTCAAATCTTAAAATTTGAATTCTAAGGGCTTATTTATATATGCGAAGATGGATCAATTCATTTAAAATTTTGTCACTACCTACATACTTTCATGCATCCTTTATGTTGGCATAGATGGAGTGAAAAGTTTCATCGCATCCTATGGTCGTGTCTAACTTGAAATACACTACACTGCCCCCATGAGTTCTGGGGGGGTACTGCTCTGTTTCATCCGTATCTGTAAGCTTTTAGAAAATGTGCACAAATAAGGACAGAGGTTTCATCCATGTCTGTATACATACCTATGGGATTGCTCCAATTGCTCCCGAGCATTGTAAAGTTCAGAAGTAAAAAGGTATTTATTAAAAGATCAATGTAATAATTTCCAAAATTTAATACATGTTTTTATCTAATTTAATTTTCTGTGTCAGTATATATTCGTTGGATTTCAAAAACAACTTTTTCACTACACTCAAAAACTGTTTGCTCTCCCACTTGCCGCACATGAGGAGAGATACGCACTTGTATTAACAGGACAGTCTAGCAGCAATCTACCAGAACCAAAGTTGATTTAATAAAAATGACCAATTTGTCTAATCCAATCAATCACTTTATTCAAACTGAGGGTATTGGTCGAAGATTTGTTTATGTCTTCCTTTTAATGGTGATGATATCACTAATCATATTCATCATTTTCTGTATTATTAATTTATTAAACCAACATAATTTCACTGACAGTGACATGGCACAATATTAGATAACATTTTATTTGCATCGGTCCTTCACTGCCATGTCTTTGACTATTTGTACTGCAGCCTTTTCCTGCCCTCACTGTGCGAGCACTGTAGGTGGACAGCTACAGTATGTAGCGAGTTCAACACACTACCAACAAAGGATGAAGACAGCAGTTGGCCTTTGAGTGTTTTACCAAAAGCAATTGTGAAACTGTGAAAAAGCACTGGACAACAAAAAGAAGCCATCAACAAGAGTTAGACCAAAGGCACTGGATTCATAAAGAAATCAAATCAGTAGCATGCCAGCACTGGCTTGTACCAGCTATGCTGAAGTTCTAACGGGAACTGCCCATTGTTTCGACAGCCCATTGGTTCCGAAGTCCGTTCCGAAATCATCATGACGCCCTGTGGTTAAGGTCTGGTTAGGTTTAGGCACAAAAACCACTTGGCTCGGGTCAGGAAAAGATCATGGTGTGGGTTAAAATGAAAAATAAAGTGACAAACACATAAGCCGTGAGCCTGCTCCGCCTCAAACCTTTCCCAGCTGACCCAGAGCCGGTCGCGGTGCACAGTCGGACTAATGGGATGTTGAACCAATGGGCTGTCGGACCAATGACATGGACCCGTTCAAACGTAGCCAAGTGTGAATGCAATTCCTAATTTCAGTTAGAGTTTACGCGCTACTAACACTTAAAGGATTGCATCAGCTCAAACAGTTCCAACTTAGGCATAAATTACAACTTACATCTTACACCTTGCCCTCAGTAGGTGTAAAGTCCTCCATAAAATAGAGGTTGTCATGGTGCATAGTTTTGAAAGGTGGGATAACTTGGCAGGGTGAGGAGGAGCAAATTATACCAGCTGTTTTGCCCTGGCAATGTGTTCTCTGTGATAGATCCAACCCACAGGCAAACTCATGCCTTTTATACTTAAAATAGAAATGCTTCAAACTGAACGAGGATGCCTTTAGACATGCAAAATGATGTGCAGACCAGGGGCGATTGCTCTGAGACAACAAGGGAGGCTGAACTTCCCCTAAAATTTCATAGAAGAAATGGTCAAACATGCACTATTGAGTTTACATTAAAATAAGAATTTACACTGCATTAAACGTGCACTAGGATGCATTTCACTGTAAATACAGTAAAGCACATATCAGTCAGCCAAACAGTAAATTTGAAGGCTGTGCTAGCAACAAATCAGCTTCAGAAAGCTAAGCTAGTGTAATGGCTACCCTTGTTAGCATTAAACTGATAACAGTAAACTGCACTGACAAATCAATAATAATCAATAAGTGTCAGTCCAAGTACTCGATGCTCTGATGGCACAGTAAGTTTGTCGACTTGGAGGTTCCCTCGTGTGGATTGTGGCAGCTAGACAGGTTTGGTGTTTGGGCGTGTGTGTTTTGGTATGTGCATGCCTCTCTGTAGCACAGTGAGGAGTACTCACACTTCCTGTAGTGCCCAGGGACAGATGGTTCATCTGCTGGGTGAGAGGGCCCATCATGCTGGCAGGCTGCATGGACATAGTGTGGTCCATGGCTGGCGTGATCACTGCACCCTGGCGGAACGAGAGAGGAGACATGATGAAGACTGTGCATATTGTTTTACTGCTTATTCTGATTCTTATTTGCTTCCACAAAGTGCTTGATAGTCCCACAGAGTCAAACCAAAACCAGACACCACCAGCAATAAAAAATGAAAAAGCGAACTGATTTCTGTGGTCAGGGTGTCACAGGGTGTCTAATAAAGAGGACAGGGTGTGGTGGGTTGTGTAGGTAAGGGTTAAAGGAAGGAAGAGAGAGAAGAAGAGAAAGTCAACAAGAGGACAGGAAGGAGAGGAGTCAGAGAAGAGGTGGAATGTCAGAAACATGAAAGCAATATAAACAGAGGAAGAGAGAAGGGTGGGGCGCAGGCAGGGGTGACACGAGGACAAAGCAGCCAGAGAAGAAGAAGCGAAGAGGGACAGTGTCGATATACAGCAACAGAACACAGGGACATTTTCAAAGATCAATACACACTATTGTCTTTGGTCCATCAAAATAGTCAATATCTGCTGCTGATGTATCAACAATATGGGTTTGTGCGGTTCATTGATTTCTGAGAGAGGATGCTTTCTCTCTGTCTCTCGCTCACTTGCTCACTCACTCCGGAGCCTCCCCTCTTGGTATAATGCGTGGCATGTTTTCCCTAACGGGCGGATGAGAACGCTAGAAGCTTCTTTTTCACGGTGCAGTGGAACATGAGGGAAAGTGATGAAACCATTGTTGCTCTTTCATCCCTTGTCATGATAGCTCCATTTCCCCAGCACTGAAGCCTCGGGAGGAACGCGTTCAAAACCAAGCCCTTTTCCTCTGCTCGGCTCGCCTCTCTTCTCGCTTTGTGTGTGTCTGTGTGTGTTTGTAGGTAAGCTTGCAACACACTGTGTGTAAAAGCATTAGTGCACAAGTGTCAAAGAGACTGACAGTGTCTATGTGTGTGAGTGTATGGGCGTGCAACTCCGATAGTGCGTGCGAGTGTGTGCGTGCATGTGCGCACCCCACTGGTGACTCTGTGTGGGCCTATTGGAGAACAAACTGTGCAGACACAGCCTGTCAGAATCGCTCTGCTTGTCTACTCCCTGCATTCACAACACAGTCAGCTAACTCTCCCTCTCTCTATCCTCCATCCTCCCCCTCCTCCCTCCCTCTCCCACTCGATATGCAAGCTTCATGTGATCCTACCCGGAGTTTCACCTCAGCACAAAAAAAAATAAAGAAACTGGGTGGAATGCTGAGATCAGTGATGGAGGAAGTATCACAACTACACCAGCTCTTTGTAAGTCTCATTATAACATAGTAAGTGTTTAATAAGTGGAGATTTACACATCACTAAATGAAAACAGGATGCACCACACAAATGCAAAGGGTGTAATTTCCACTGGGGATAGGTGGAGGTATTTTATCACCCTGGTGTTTGCCTCTCAGGCTGGATACAACTACTTTATATCACCAGTGAACTAGGCAACTGTATGAAACCTAAAAAAAACCCCTCGAGAACTCCTTTTTTGGTTACTATTTTAATAATAATAATAATGATTCTAATAATAATAATAATAATAATGATGATAAAAATAATCTATGAAAACATAAAGATTAGCTGTCACCAACTATAATATAATATAATATAATATAATATAATATAATATAATATAATATAAATACAGTAAATTGTCAACACTTGTGTGTGCTTGCTAAAATAAGAACAATATCTGGGAGAAATTTGTTACATCTGATTAGTTACATGACGGCACAGTGTTGCAGCGGTTAGCATTGTCTCCTCACAGCAAGAGGGTCTCTGGTTCGAACCCAGGGCCACCTCGGGGTGGGGGAGCCCTTCTGTGCAGAGTTTGCATGTTATCCTAATGTCTGCGTGGGTTTTCTCCGGGCACTCCGGCTTCCTCCCACAGTCCAAAGACATGCAGGTTAATTGGTGACTCTAAATTGCCCATAGGTGTGAATGTGAGTGTGAATGGTTGTCTGTCTCTATGTGTCAGCCCTGTGATAGTCTGGTGACCTGTCCAGGGTGTACCCTGCCTCTCGCCCAATGTCAGCTGGGATAGGCCAGCCCTCTGTGACCCCTAAGAGGTTAAGCGGTTATGGAAAATGAATTAATGAATGAATAATTACTTACACGTAACTGAATTACAAAACAAATGTTATTGTGATTAGTCACAGTTATTGGAAAAAAAAAGTAATTTAATTACAGTTTCTAATGAATGAAAAAGGGGTTACATCTGTATATTCTTTTAGTTAAAAAGTTTATATGTACGGAATAGAGTACATGAAGGATAAAACATTCATTCTGTTGCTTTGCATATTTTAGCTGTGCAACACCTTCTATTGGCAAAGCCTATTTCTGGACAACTTTCAGTTTTTTTGCCCAGTTTAAAACATTTGTTAGAAAAGAAATCAAAAAGAATTCAAACGTAATATTTGACATTACTTTTATGTAGTAATTAAATTAGTTACATTACTTATTACATTCATAACAAGATAACTAGCAATCTGTAACCTGTTACATTTAAAAAGTGACCTATCTAACAATGGATATGAAACATGGTTGATTTAACTGACCAGACATTTGATGAAAAATTCTGTTTAATGATAGAGCTGTTTATACATAGATTTAACTCAATAGACCTTAAATCACAAAACGTTATTGTAATAATATCAACAAAATAGTGTCATTTAAATTAGCAAAGTAAGATGTCACTCTCATTCTAAACTCGAGTATCCTGTATGCATATTATGCAAACAAACAAACATTTCAGCTCATGATGTTACTCTGTTTATGTAGTTGGTGTCTTGCCATTGTACTGGACACACTGTTGATCTTCACTAGCAGCTGATTTAGACCTCACTAAAATCTTTACTACTTTACCGAAATACATTTCTTATGTTTTAATGGTGCATCCTCATTTAGCAAATGACTACTTTGAAACTACCTATTTATTAATAACTTATAACACACATCTGCATTTATAACACTTATCTCTGTGAATTAGTTAATGTGTACCTTTAATGTAAATTTAATTTACACAATTAACATTTATTTTTTTTAAAGTTGTACTTGCATGAGTCTTTATATGCTGCCGTTACTGCCTTTTTACTGCTTGTATTTATTTGTTTTATTTTTATTCTATTTCAACTACTGAGAGAAGTGTTGTGAAATGTCATTGTACCGGAATATAATGATAATAAAGATCATGTATTAGTTAATAAAATCTTAGGAGAGACTTCAGATCAAAACTTTAGCTTTAAGAAGAGATGATGCAACCCAATGCAGATCCTTTACCTCAGCAAACCAACAATGTAAAACCGACTGCAAGAAGTATATAAACTGATCACATGACTAATCTGTTTTGTGTGTAGAATCTTAACCTGCAAAGGTGGCAGCTCAATATTTTCTTCAAAAAAGTCAAACATCTAGTATTTAGCTCCGTTTCACCGCTGGCTGTGATAGACGAAAAAGGAAAAGGAGAGGGGAAACGAGGAGATAGAAAAAAAAGACTGTGTGGGGACAGGAGAAAGATGATTAAGGAGAGAGCTGATGGAGGTCATGAGGAAGACGGGAGCGAGGAGAGACGAACAGGGGAGAGGGAGGAGAGAGAATTAGAGAGGAAGGCTGAGGGACACACAGCGAGAGAAGACAAAGGAAGAGAAAGACAGAGAGAGGAGGCGAGGAGGAGAGAAGGGAAGAGACAGAGAGGAGCGAGAGGGAAGCAGCAGGAACTGTGGGCTACCTGTTACTGATTCAGCCTCTGACAATGCCTTTATAATGGGAAAGGGAGAGCAACGGAAAGGCTTAATTCACAGACGTGTCAGGGAGAGTTAAGCCGATTTGTGATTTCGATTTTCTGTGTTTGTGAGACTGAGTGTCTGTGAGAGAGGGGGTTTTAGTGTGCGTGTGTGTCGTGTTGTGTGTCTGTCCAGGGACAGACTAGGGAGGAAAGAAAATGAGGAGGAGACTGACACAAATAGACAATATATGTTTTTGATTCGTCCTCTGTGTGCGAGAGAGCTCTATAATGAACGCTAGAGACGTGTTACAAATATATGACACCATGTTTACAGATCTCCTCGATGTATGCCCATGTTTTGGTGTGTGTGTGTGTGTGCGTCTGTGAAAACCCCATCTTGCTTTAGATGGTATTGATCCTGCTCTAGACAGGAGACAGATGATATCAGCGTCCTGGCTGTTAAATACGTTGATATACTCTCAGCGACCGGAGACAATGTACAGTAAATAGGAAATCTTGTAAAAAATCTTACAACCTGCAGTGTTTTTTAATGACGCTCATTACAAGTAAATAGCAGCACTCCGACTGATGGAGCACTGATCGCTATCAGCTGATATTCATCACTTTGTCTTTGGAGCTGCTGATCAGAAATAACAATTGTAAAATGGGTAAAGCAAATACATAAATGTCATACAGATAGGGAGTGTTTTTACGGCCTGGTCCATTACTGCGAAAGGATGTTCACCACATCCTGTTTAGCAGCACATAGGCTCATGATGCAGCCAGGGAGGCTGTTTAAATCCTTGCTGCACAGAAATTCACCTAGTTTTGTGAATGTACATAAGAGATATTGTATTTTTATTTGCGACCATGTGACTGAAAGACATGCAAAATGTGCTTTGTCTAAAGAGAGTCAACAATTAAGAAATAAGGAACAAAATTGCTCATTTTACAGGATGTAACAGTATTAAAACACGTAATGAAGCTCTGCCCAAAGTAAATATTCTTTGCGGACCAGCAGCGTATCATTTTAAAGTGAAAAAAAGAGCTTTTTTTGGGGATGTCTTCTGCAGAGACTTCTTGTGAAACCTAGAAAAGCCTGTATCAAATCCTGACTCTGATGATGACTTTAACCGTGATCAGTATCAGCCCTTAAAACCCGATCAGAGCAACATGACAGCGAGTCATTTTGCTCATCTCTGTTGCTGCTGCAGGTTATAATAGCCAACATTATTGCCTATCTACTCTGTTGCTTCAAACCAGTGCTGATATATCACCAC